ATCAAGAATTTGGGACTAATTCATGCTAACACCATTTTGGAACGTCAACTTGAAGTGCAAAAATTTGTCACCACGAGGAATCGAACTTGGGACCCATTTTCTGGTATTTCTGGAATGAGCATGAATAATTAGTACCATATTCATGATTAGGACCAGTAACCCTTACAAATAGACTTTGATTGAAAAACTGGTGAAAAAGGTGTGACTAGGGACCCCCTTTTCTGGTATTCAGAGGGCCGTTCAGGAAAAATGAACCATGGTTCTGTGGTCCCCATGTGTGCCCCAATGTCATGCAAGAAACCATTTTGAAAAAGCTTGGCACACCCTGAACGACCTCCCTTGTAGGGCATTTATTTTGCATTTCGAGTTGACGTTTCAAAATTCGCGCAAAATGGAGTTAGCATGAATAATTAGTACCAATTCATGATTAGGACCGTCAGTAACCCTTACAAATAGACTTTGATTGAAAAACTGGTGAAAAAGGTGTGACTAGGGACCCCCTTTTCTGGTATTCAGAGGGCCGTTCAGGAAAAATTAACCATGGTTCTGTGGTTCCCGCATGTGCCCCTATATCATGCAAAAGACCGTTTTGAAAAAGCTTGGCACACCCTGAAAGACCTTCCTTGTAGATTGCAAGCACAAATGTTCATTCATGCCTTCTGTATAGCCATACATTAAATTAGCATAAACATCGCAGCTCTCAAAATGGTCAATCATGCTGTCGTTTGGCAGAGATTTTCAAGTTCTTACGAAAATGTTCAGTTCGTTCGTCGTTTTCTTGTCATCAGTTGATCATGTAGATAAAAAGAACAATAGAAGTAAATACACACCTTATTTGGATGGCAGGAGTTTCGCGACAAAACCCCGTTCAGAATGGCTTTGATTCCACTACAGCGAAAAGAAGTTAAATTTGCCTTTTCATTGCCATAACTCGCCATTTTGGTCAAAGTTCTACATATTGCTGTTACTTTCGATGTACTGAACACATTGAAAATTACTAGAACATTTCATCGCATCCGAGTTTTGCATATTTAGAGCTCAAAATCCATGGATTTGATGTGAGGCGGCGGCGCTCGCAAAATCGCTCTGGTCCCACGCGGCCAAAAGAGCAAAACGCGCGATGTCTGTCGTCAACGTGTTAAGAACAGGGGACACAAGCCTCGGGGATTATGCGGTAAAACAGACTCTTTTTCTCACGAAGTTTACTCTGTGGTGAATATGCCATGAAATGGTAATAATTAAGAATGAAGGTGGAGCTTGAGCTGACCTTGGTGATTTTCATGACTATTGCTGGTAAGTTTTCGCCATCAAATGCTCGCTTCAATTCGAGCAGCTCATATAGCACGCAGCCGAGAGACCACAGGTCACTTTTTTGGTTGTAGGCTCGCCCTGAAAAAGGAGCTTCGAGTACGGAAACAGTTCTGTCCCCAGCGGTTCGCCGAGAAATCTCATTATCTCATTACTTGTGTATACGTTACGTCTTCCGTACTTGTGGCTTCAACACCTCGCAGCGCATACGCACAAAATGGGTGTTTCGTACTAGAGGGACATTATAGCAATGTTGACATTACGATAAAATGAAACCTAAACCTGATTTGAAGCTCAACTTCGATGATGGCTGTTCCTTTCTTATCTTAATCCCTCGCATTTCCCTCGATTCTCCTCCAGTTACAACACGAACACCATGAGAAATGGCCAAAACTTGTCATCGGGTCTTCATGAACTGGTCGACTGCTGTACTCTTGAAACGCACTGTATGAAGTCGAACGTGTACGTTACCATTTCATTTTGCGGACACAATAAGAAACACACCGGCTCATCAAGTTAGCGGTTTCAAATCCCAAGGAAGAGCGGCTAACAATTCCTGACAAAGGGAGATAAACTTACCCAGTCCACTACCACAAGGGCGGAACAGCATCGCTCTAAATCGGTTGTGGTATGAGATACCAGTTTAACTTTCCACGCTAACGGGTGCATGGTAGGCTTCGGTAAATCTGGACAGTCTGTCTGGCGGAATTTACGATGCGCCCATTTCAAATCACGTTAAGGATGGTGAGTGGTACAAATAGGAAGAACCATGAGAAACGGCCCAGAACCAAGAAATGGAACCCCTTCCATTGCCCGTTGATTTCCGCATTGATGCGACTTGCATCGTTATGCCCTCTTCAAGGCTAGATAGATAGTCGGTGGGCGTGCCGCGCCAACGCGCCAAGAGTGAGCCATGCTAGATCGCCGAGGTCAAATCTTTCGCTGCCAATTGCGCGTCAGTCCGCACCCTCAGGAGGTCCGCCTGTCTCCCAACTAGGCAATTTTCCCCTTCTTCGACCTTCGTTCTTATCGTGGTATCCTCCTTTGATTGACCATCCATGGACTTTTTCTCTTAAAGGACGAATTCACGATTAGAATGAAGGTCGAAGAAGGAGTAATTCACCTAGTTGAGGGACCCGCGGACCTCCTAAGGGTGCGGACTGAAGCGCAATTGGCACCGAAGGAGTTGACCTCGGCGACCTATTAAGGCTCAATCTTGGCGCGGTGGGCCAGTGCACGCCCACCGATCATCTGATCACTCGCCGCAGGTCTATACGTGGCGAGTGATTAGATAGTGAGAGAGCGTAGTGTTGAAGAGGGCACAGCGATGAGAGTCGCATCAATGCTCAAATCAACGGGCAAGGAAGGGGTCCCATTTCTCGGGTTCTGGGCCGTTTCTCATGGTTCTTCCTTCTTTCGTGTACCACTCACCATCCTAGGTTAATTTGAAATGGGTTGCTTTTTCATCGTGAATTCGTCCTTTAAGTCACCGACTCCAAGACACAAGACACACAAGACTCTCACGACGGAGCAGACGTTGCGAAAAAGAGCATAAAGGCTAGCGAGACGCAGACACCATCCGTAAAATCGTTTTCAAGGGGCGAAAAGGGGAGGCATAGAGTCTTGAAGGCAAACCCCGGGATTAGCCCGACTTGTGGGAAGGATACCGCGAGGGAAATTGTAAGGTCCGTACCTACCTAGATCACTCCAGCTTCGTCGCAAAAATTGCGCGGTTAGGGCGCTAATCCTTACGGGCCTGCAACCATCGACCCCCGTTGCAACGCTTCCCACCCACCTCGATATGCTCTCTCAAACGGCGTGATCTCTCGTGTTTTGTCTTCTTTGACCGCCCTGCCTCGCCATCGTTCCACATCCGACCTTTTTGAAGAGTAAGGGAAAGATTTCTTAAGCTTTTCTTTTCACTTTCAGGCCATCCCGCAGCTCAGTCATCATTACGAAGCGCTCTTATCACCGGTTTTACCCAGGGGCTTGCCATTAAGGTAACATAAGCCCATTACGCACTAGCTGCCCTTGTGATCCTTGGAGCTTGCACATCTGCTCTTGTGAGTCAGCCAATCTTTCATATGGAAAGCATTCGGGAAGGATTCCCAGCCGTTCCTATAACCAGACAGTGGGAGGCGCGCTACACTAGCAGGCATTTCCTATTTCTTACACGACCAATGGTATGAACTGTCTCACTGCCGAAGACCACAGGGTTGTTGAACAGAACTTGAGCAGTATACGAGGAAAGCGAAAACTAGTGACAAAATCAAGCTGTTCAAAACCAACCTTCACAAATCTCGGGGCTGAGGTAATTCGGCGTACCGATGACCGTCGAGGCAAGACTTCTTGTGGTGAGCTCCTTGGAAATACCGAAATCGGACAGTTTCACAAGAGTTTTCTTCCTGAAAGCGTCTACTGATTATTCGACGCACTTGACGGCTCCAATAAAAGAGTTATAAGAACGTTTCCTCAAATTCGATTCTTCAAAGATGGGAGCACAGATAAATATTGAAGTGTGTGCAGTGTTTAATTAAACTAGCACATATCATAGCTGATATCATTATCATTAGTTTGTCGGTAATAAATATTCATTAATATTAATTCGCTCATCACCACGGCCGGCCTCCTAAGGGAAATTTAGTGTTTTCTATGGTGCTTTTTGCTTTTTCTCCTCACTAATGTTCCTCATTGCACCTCCTTGCCTAATTTTGAACAAAATAACGCATCAATTCAATCCCGACTCGTGCCTTTAACACCCGAAATGAAGGGGACAAGAGAAAGAGGGATTCTCAAGGATTCTCAGAAAGCCTCCTGAACGTGTTCGGAGCCTTCAAAAGATTTTTCAAATGTTGACTGTCCAACGAGTGACTCAGGCCGTGATTTTCTCGAAAACATCCCTAATCATATCAAGTAAAGGAAAAAAACTTAGATAAAGTGTGAATTCTAATCATTCGCAAGGAAGCGCTCGACACTCTTCAAAGAGCAACCTTTGAGCCGAATGGTCCCAGGGAAAGAAAACTAGAAAGAGGTGCATTGTTGGATGGGAGCTGGCGCGGGTGCGGGGTCCGGACAAAGGCTCAGCTTATGCTGCAAAAACTGACTTTTATTAGGTCGTGAAGAAAGTTCTTGCGCTTTGGTGTTTCGTTTTTGAACGCTTTATTTTGTTACGAGTTCAAGCAAGCTGCCACCGTGCTATATCGTTTTGAAGAGCTTTTCTTGTTCTATCTAACAGCTGGGCTAGCTAGGTTCCTTATTGCTTAGTTTGTCATTTTTTGAAGCCTTGAATACGGCGTAGAAATTTGCCATGATTTACTATTTTCTGTCAACAAGCTGTAAGACGAAAGTTAGGTCAGATTATAGGTGAGTTTCTTGAGCTGCAATAAATGTGGTCTGAAGCAATTGTTCAAAAAGCTTTTGTAAGGATGTGAGAGAGCCACAAGATGATGAGGGTGGTTGGTCGAGATTGGACAACGCCAACAATTAGCGACGAACGTTCTAGTTGAAGCACGTTTGCACAGAACTATTGAGAGGGTTCCTCCTAAACTGATCGCACTTGCATTGTGTTTTCTTGTTGTACGGGAAGAGCTGGAAAGTCCCAAAAATTCAAATAGGGCGTGCCGCGACAGCTCACCATTTTGAAGGGTCGTTCGCCGCTTTCTAGCTCGTTTTATGCCATGAAACGACCTGATTTTTTAATCATTTGCGACGTACGATAAAGAACGGATTCTTTGCTACAGCGCGCGAACCTTTGGTGAAGTGATCAACCGCGAT